TGGTAAGTGTTGGTGCTAGCCGCTATCCCATAGCCAAACTTCTAACCTGTTTGTAATATCCGACCATCGAAAAACTTACAGCGCACACGTTAGTCATTAGTTTGCTGATAGTAACATACAGGTTAAGTGAAGGTTGATACTCAGCAAGGAGTTCGCAAACAGCTTGCATAGCAGCATCGTTTGATGAGTTAGTATATAAGGGCGTAACATCAAACGACTCCATAACAGAGTTTTGGGTAAACTGCGTGTTGCGCAGCCGCTCGAAGAGCATATTGATGTTAACAAGATGCGCTGGATCATGCATAGTTGCACCAAAATTAAATTAAGGAGCCATGCTATCCTATCTGTTGGACTCACATTGCTAATTATGGACCTTACTTTTAAAGTCTGCGTTGTTCGACTTAAGTTCGCAGGAGGTTTGTGTGTTTTTATTCACTTGTAAAGGACAGAAAGTGTCGGTAGATCGTTTTTCAATCGCGAAGTAACGCTTCGGCTTCGAGCTGACCCTGCAGATCGAGCCGTTTCTAATCATATCCTATCTGGATGGCGATATTGTTCTTAAACTCATCAATGGACGAGGGTAAATCGATGTTGATGTCGTCCAAATGGATGCGGGTTATTGCCATGTCTAGTTCACGTGACCACAAACCCTCCTCCTTTATTGCCAACAGAGAGCCTGATCTCCGCAGTATTGCAGCGATCGCGAGTTTCCCTATGGGCCGCGCAGTTGTGCGGACGTGAGATTATTGAAATTGCGTTAATTCGAAAAATTACTGAGAATGGAGGAGATTGATGTTGCAAAAACGCGAAATTTGCTACCTACCATGCTGTTAGCCTCCTGCGGTTTGAAGAGAAGATTTGAGAAGGGTATAGCTGACAAATCTGCTGCGTTATTTTATACACCTTTTACGAGCTCTTGGTTTGCCTTGCGACGTAGTTCTTCGTGTACAAATTGCAGGCTCCCTACGATGCGTGAGACCCCGGGTTCTATCGATTGAACTGGTGACAAACTTGGACCGAGATCCAAGATTGAGGTAATTGGTCCGTAATCGAGCGCACGCTCGCATCTGCTTGACTCCAGGGTGCATAGTCTTCCCAG